AATTGGAGAGAAAATCAGCAAGCCTTCAATTTTTAGCATACGCATTAAAGATAGTCGTAGAGCTGGAATAGTTGCATCTGGACGTTGATCTCTAACCTGAGAGAAAAAAATGCAATTATAGATTCTGAACTTTGGCTCAAATTAAGTACTAAACTTTTTCGGTTCAGGTGAAAGTAGCTTAAAAGTGAATTTTATATTTATGGAACGCATAGATCGTCCGTATCGAATGGTGTCATTGGTCCTGCCAGTGGCGTTTACTCGAGGGATTCTGTTAAGTACCAACATTTACCCTAGCCGGCATTAAATGTTCGTTTTGTAAACTTAAAAACAAAAATACGGAACTCTTTCAATTCGCCGTGTTCCATGTAAAATATGGTAAGAGGTCCCTAGAACATGTTGTCTTCATCATTCATTAGTAATCAACGAAGGATGCTTGAATTTGTTGGCGCCAAGGTCTTCCGCGGAAAGTCACGAATATGAAACTTGCAGCTTTACCAATCAACGTAGTTACACAGTTTTTTTCAGTTTCACCTTAATAACCCCGGGATTTTTTCATGTTTCTCTGTTCTTTTTTCACGCTGCAAGGCGTGTTGGCCACGGATACCCACGCCTCGGGTGCAAGTGGCATGTGCTCAATCAAGCAAACGTGGCTACGCCGTCGATGCAGCATGCTGTGATTTTTAAATTAGTTTGTCTTGCGCGCCAAACCGTGAACGGAGCAAAGTAAATCTCGTTAGTAAATCTCCCTCACATATCCGCAGCTCATCCTCCGCCGCGTCGGGTGCGCTGAAATTGCAGTTTTCAGCGAGGATTTCACTCGTATCAATTCGCTTGCATTAGACACGCCAAACGAACGAGTTAAGCTCTTGTCCTTTGATTTTCGACCGGTGGAGTTCACCGCTAAAGCGTCCAACTTTCATATTTTTAGTATTAACACAGTCCGCATAATCCCGCGTCTCTAGATTACGTCCTATACTGATAGTAAATTCTCCTCTCGTTGCATAAATAATTCACCGTATCGAAACAGGTTACCTACTGGGCATTTGAGAGAAGTAATCAAGTTATTTCTCATCAAATCCGCCGTCAAGTTCTGAAATTATTTTTTTCAAATCATCCATCGTCGGAAATAATCAGAATAAAATAATTTCTCAGCGCAAATATTCTCTGCACCAGTGACTGTCATTCCTTTAATGTTGTTTCTCTTTATTCTTTAACACGCATACTGGTTAGCGGCTTATGATTGAACCGCGTCTAGAAAAAAGAAACCAAACCACATCAGCTATTACCAAATTTGACTGGCTATTCTAATTTCTTACAAGAAAACGTTTGCGCAAATTCCCTCGAAAATTTTGAGGAATTTACTTCACACTATGCACAAAATCCACTGAAATTTACACTAAAATCCGCACAACCGTGTTCATGTAAAAATTAAAATGCCCAGTTAAATTTGGCAGTAGCGGATGTGGCTTGATTCCTTTCTGCTCAACTCGATCCAATTGATAGTCGCTCAAAATCGAGGCAGTTATGGTCGCAGAAAACATATCTCCCACAGATTTATACACCTGTTTCAGTCGTTACTAAAATTGTATTCTGTTTCAAAATCAAACCGATGATTTTTGAAGTCTGATGGTGACGTCCATCGTCCAACTGCCTTATCTTCTCAACGATTTATGCAGATAATTTTTTCTTCGGACACTAACTCCTCGTAACTTGACTGCGCGAACGCACAGTAGCCAGACCCGTGGAATATTTTGTCCCGCGGCCGTATGCAATATGCAGAATGCATCTGTGGAAGATGTGTGGCCGAAGCATCGTTGGTGGCAGCGACTGCTGGGCGTTCGCAACGACCAACTGGACTGCCGATGCCGATCAGCGGCGAAGCATGAACGATCGATTATCGATATTTCCCCATTTGAAGCTATGATAAAGAATCGATTATTTGTGAACAGCCTGTTTATCGATCCTTTTCCATAGGTTTAAATGGCGGATCAACCGATATATCGCAAAGCACGCCACGCAACTGATGCCGATGCGGACGAGGGATAAGGATAACGCGGGGCACTTATTGAATGAACTGCGGCCGAGTTCACCACACGCTAATTGATCGAATGCCCCTTGACCTTCTCCTCCGGTGCCCTGCTCCTGCCCCAAAGCCCTCCAGCTCCAACTTCGTGGCGTTTAATGAACTTTGTCTTGGCACTTGAGACGCACACCACACACCGCCTCCGCTCTTCCGATCTTCTCCCCTGTTCGCGTTCGCCTTCTCTGGGAAACAATCAGGAAGCTCCTGCACTTTAATCTGTCTCCAACCGCTGTTGCCAGTTCGTGCTCGAGGTTTTGTCTCCCTCGGGAACGTCGTTTCGAGGGTGCGGTGGCGGTTCTTGGCGAATACGCTAAGCTGCCATGGTAGCGAAGAGAGCAGTAAGTGCATGCTAGGATGAACCTCGAGACACATACAAACATGTGCTAACCATGGCTCATACAGAAATGCACTTACTGCTCTCTTCGCTATCATGACAGAACTGCCGTGCTAAGGAAGAACACCGTATGAACATTCGAGAGTTGCCAAATTTCTTCTCAAAAAATGGTTATTTTTGAAGGAAGTTGTGAATATATTTCCTCGAAATTTTCAGGAACTTTCGGTGGTATTGCGAAAAAAATTATCTGAAAAATTGGAGGGAAAATATTTACAAATTTTCCAGAAAATTCGTGATTTACGGAAGGGAATTTGGCAACGCCTGACGGCTCATACCGCGTTTTTCCTTAGCACGGCAGAGTATTGGACAGAATTTTCTGCCTACGCAAGTCAGGAGGTGAATTGTTGTTTTCACATCATGATGGGATCCGTAACAGTGGAAAGTCACTAGAGAATAGTAGTGGATTTTTGGAATTTCACGAAAGGTGCTCGAGACATCGGAAATATTAACTTTTGATGATCCAAAGGGGCCCCATTTCAATGAAACCTTGGGGAGGACAATTGGTCAAAGTTTTTTCGGCGGAGGCCAAATTTGCTTGGAAGTAAAATTCGTGCGAGGGGCGAAACTTGATTAAAGCTCTAAAACGCCACTTTGAGCAGAAGAAATTGCCTTTTGATTCAAAGCCATGATTAGGTCTTCAGGCAAAGTTCTCCACTCACCCACGGTCCAAGATACCAGATTCGAAAGAACTTTTTACAGTACGATGTAGCGACTCTGCGATTAAAAATGGGAGAGACCTTCTCTTTCTCTTTGAATATCGGATCTCATGTCCCCTCAGAAAAGGGTTCAACACAATCCTTAATAAAGTTGATGGATTCTAAGCGAAAAAAGGAACACGTGACTTCCTCATATTCTGTCAGCATGTTCATCCTTTTGTTTCTTCTGAGTCAATCAAGTCTTTCTCTCAAGCACACTTATCCACTAATTCACGATAAAAAGTCCCCTCCGTGAGGTCATCTTGGGTGAATCCGTTCACGACGGCCTGCTTAATCGTAGTTATGTCGTGTGTTGTTGTAGTGTACGAAGAACGGCGAATCCTTCGGCTCACAATAATTGAATATCCCAGGGAAAAACGTAATTTTGATTTTTTTCAATGAATCGAAAATGTTTGGTAAAAGAGACCCCTATCTTCACATGTTGAAAAATAAATGCATGGAACTTGGGACGCAGATAAGTGGACGGAGACAAGACTCCTTTTCTTTGATCAAACCGTACAATTATTATTCGTCGCTTCGCTGAAAAAAAAAGTTACGGGCTTTATAGACTCACCGTCCGTTCCGGGCTTAGAGGCCAAAAGTTCCGGGTGCTAGAGCGGTAGCTTCGACTGCTATTGCTACGCCCGGAACTTTCGGCTTCCACGCCTGGAACGCGGATGGCTTTCACGGCCGGAGTTTTTTCAAGTGTTTATATAACGCCTATCGCTGAACCGTTATTCCAAGAATCAACTGTTAGTACATGCATGGAAAAAAAAGAAAAGAAAAAGCCTGCAATGATCAACCACCATAAAACACAATCCTACGCCGCACGCGCAACTGACCCAATCGTACTTCTTCTTCTTTTTCCGCGAGGATGTCTCTTAATTCTGCGTGCCATTACGAAAACACAATGGAAGCGGAGTCCTGAACACGAAGAGGCGCAAAGGGCCTTGGAGGATGTTCCTAGGGCTCCGCTCCTCCGGGCGGGGCGTCAGCAACGAGAAAGCGATTACCGCGTGTGATTTATGGGAGGTGGGAGTTAGCTGAGACAAAGCAGAATTAAACTGCCCGTAAGTGCATTAGAGCTGGTCTTTGCACCAAGAGGCGTTGCGCTTTGCGCGTGAGGTGCCGTGTTTTAAAACACGGAGACTTCGGTAGTTGGGAGTCATCCAGACGGGTAAAGCGCCGGTTCCAGGGGTGGAGGAAGTCGGTGCGTGAGATTATGGTTTGATTGTTTTTGACCTAAATACACACATTGAGGGCTAAGGAATAATACCGCATAAGTGATAGATTTTGCAAAAATGAGTTAGCAAGTTTTTCGCAGGATTTGTTGTAGATTTCGCAGGTTGATGATTTTAGTTTTTTTCCAATTCTGCTGCAATTACTTGTACGATTGTATGATAGTAATGTATGAAAAACTTGCAAATCTAACCTCAAAATTACAAGAACGGCAAAGTTTTCACTTCGTACTGGAAAATTGTCAGTTTGCAGATAGGCGGTATCATTTATGCCCCCCCCCCCAAAAAAAAACAGGCAATCAATGTTTTGATGTCCAACACAGCTCAAAATCATGGCTAGGATAACTAGGCATTTTTTAAAGTTTAAATTTAATATTAACGTTAATTTTCTCGCACCAAAAGTTTTTTCGCAAGAAGCCAGAGATTCAGAACTCTTTTGACGGACTGAATTTTTTTTTTAATCAGAGGTATAAAACCGCAGACAGGAGATAATCCAAACCAATTCACTTTTCCCCACATCCCTTTTGAACAAAATTGAATACTTTTCAAAATAAAAAATAACTGAGAAATTGTTTGTGTTTTTGTTTCAGGCTTGTGCTCCTCGTTACGTTTGGTACACAACGAATGTAAATCGAAGGGATCCAGTTGGTACTTGCTACATTTCGAAAAATCAGTTCACAGACTTTTCCGAATACTCGCCTTGCCGAACCCGTAAGTACCTTATTTTACCGTGGTGTTTTATCCGTACCATGCAAGACTTTTTGGTTTTGCAGTGCTTTGAGGTTTATCGAGCACTCCGTTTCTCAATCCCTACAAAAATAATTCAGTCACACTGAAAAAAAAATCTCTGTGTATTTACTAAGAAAAGGGTAAATTTTCCAAGAATTCAGGGTTCTATTTGATCCCAGTTTTTTCTTAGTAAAATTACCATTTATGGAATTGGTAATTTCACCGAGAAATCTCGATAAAATTATTGAACTTTCTCGGTAATTTCACTGGACCTTGGTAAAAACGCCAATATTTTTTATCGACTGTGGTAGAATTACCGAGATAAAATGGCAAAGTTACCGGGAATTGATTACCAATAAAAGTGGTATTCTCACCTGAAAAAAAAACAGTAAAATTACCGGTTTCTAGGTAAGCTTACCAGTCTGTTTTCGTAAAATTACCAATGATTGGTAAAAAAAGTGAGATGGTAAAGGTACCAACGGACCTTGGTAAAAACGCCGAGAATTTTTTTTCAGTGGCAGCTCTGAAAAAAAGATGCTGTGGAAACCTAACTATCAAGAGAAATTCGGTTGTCTGGCGATTTAATTCTTCTGCCAGTGCGCATCGGTTGATGAAACACGTGATCGGTTCGGTTCTTAAATGGACATATTTATGCTAAAAGGAACTATGTGTCTTAGGTTTGCGTGGAGCATAGTACCTTTTGGTAAAAATGCGTCCAAATATAAGCAGGCAACCACCAGCAAAATGGGTAATCGGTTAAAAATGTATACATTTCTTCTGTAGTGTGTGCCAATTCAGTTTTTAATTTTCGCTGCGTGCCGAGTTCCTGAAACAGTCCGTCTCTGATTTTAGTGAGCAGGGCCTTCTTCCAGTACGAAAACCCACGTCCTGGTTGGGCCTCAGAGAAAATGACGAAACGGCAATTAGTTAGCGACCATGGGTGTCGAAGGGGTGAGCAGGAGCAGGAAATTGGAAACGAAACGTATCGTGGTTGATTGGTGAGCTAGCGGCGCACAATGGGTAGAAATTTAAAATGTAATTCCAACGTGTATCGGACTTTATGATTTACCCCCTATTCCTGCTTCGCAAAGTTTCAAGAAAGACACGATGTGTCTCCAGGTTTGGTTAAATCAATCTACAAGCTACGGAAGAGCTTTTAGAATTTCGGCCTTAACGAAGGAGCACCTTCCTGCTCCGTAAAGAGCCCTCCTTCATATCCTCTCTATTCTAATAAAATCATTTTTAAGACGCTCGATGGAAGGGGTGAGGAAGTGGATTAAGTAGATTGATGGGTTGGAGTCAGGACGGAGAGTTCTAAGTCCGATTTTGATTCGCTGTTTTAATTGATGAGATATTTTTTTTTTTATCTTTTTTAATTATTAATTTTCTTTTGTCAATTTCAATTTATTTCGTCCGGGCGATTTCGACGATTCCGCTGGCCGCGAAGCGGTCTTTGGGTGCGCGCAGCACCCCGGAGGTTGGGCCGCGTGGCGGCCAGGGGCGGAGCCACCTAGTTCAATGCTAAAGGGATTCGAACCCAGGACATATCGATCTAGAGTTAGACGAGTTAACCCCCGGGTCAATCTGGCGGGCTTTCTAATCACTTTTATGGTGAGGACTCCACACGGAGAAAAAAACTTCGTGCGTGAGACCCGAAGTTTAGGTCATATAGATCTCTGAAGTTTTCGGATTGAGCATCTGAACACTTTAGGTCTAGCTGTCGAGGTTCGGATCACACATCTGAAACTTCAGTTCTTATATCTGAAGTACTTCAGATGTGAGAACCGAAGTTCTTCGGATGTGAGAACCGAAGTTTTTCGGATGTGAAAACCTAAGCACTTCAGATGTAAGAACTGAAGTTTCAGATGTGTGATCCAAACCTCAGCAGCTGGACCTAAAGTGTTCAGATGCTCAATCCGAAAACTTCAGAGATCCATATGACCTAAACTTCGGGTTCCACGCACGAAGTTTTTTTCTCCGTGCACTCAGCGGCTAATAATTCATATACGATTTTGAGAATTACGGTCTTTCAATGATGCTTTGGAAGTCTACATAATCTTAAAACCTATAGATACGGTAAAAGTAAGGGCATCTGCTGACAAATAATCAGGAAAAGCTCAAATGAAGCTCATTTTCAGAGGCACAAATCTACGCAAGCTCTGCACCTTTATTTTCTAGGATACAGTATGGAACAACTTACGTGCCGTAATTGTTGCCTATTCCAATAAATGAAGGAGCCTTTATGATTTTTAGCCACCAAGAAACCATTTTTTACCCTCTGCGCGGCGCGGGGAGGCCACAGGGAGGATCCCGAGACTCGGGGCGCGGGCGGTCTCGCCGGAGGATGTCGTGTCTTGTCACGGTCTACCGCGCTTTGATTGGAAAATTGGCCCCCTCGCCCCTCCTCCCGTGTCAATATTAGCCCGTCATTTTTGTCCGTCGCGTTTGGCACGTGAAAGTTCATGCCATTGATGGATTGCTCGCAGTCAAGCGATCTCCTTTATTTCCCACTGCCGAAAAACATCGATGAAACAAACATCCGGCAGAAATGAGATTCATAAACTCGGACGTGTTTTGTCCCGTAATTTGATTTTCGTATGTTTTTTTAGTTGAAATTATCCGGTTTTCGGTAAAAGTATAAATTTTGATACACAAATACACTAAAGTAGTCCGAATCATTCAACCAAAAAACAAGAGAGAGACACTTGCAAGCCAGACACACAAGAAGACTTCGGTTCGAGGAGTAGGTTAAAACCACCCTAAAACGTTCCTGGCTTTGTGTTTGTTGTTTTTTAGCCACACTGGAAAAAACACATTGGATCTAGAGTCCAGACTCTTGAAAATATTGACAAGGAAAAATACTCTTGATTCAATCGGAGTTTTGGGTGAATCAAAACGAAATCCGCTGAAATTAAGAGGCTTGGTTCTTGATTTGAGCTAGATTCTGATTGAATCAAGACTACTTTTTCTTGTCGATGTTTTTAAGAGTCTGGACTCTAGATCCAATGTGCTTTTTTTTTCCAGTGCATGGTCACCCGATTTATTGTGTTATTATTAGTATAAATATTGATTTAAGTCTCTAGGGATTTCGAAAAAAACAAGCCTAAAATTTTAACTAAATCCTTATGATTTCACGGCTCAAAAGCAGTTCATCACTTTTTGCTCTGTGGATTCTTATACTCGCATACAGTCCTGCCGTGTGTTTAAACTGAGAGACCAACGATCTATCCACAAGTTTTATACCCCCATGTTCTCAAACATTGCGCTCTGATGAGCAGATTTTCACGCACCGGTATGCAATCACCATAAAATTTTCATCATCCAGGACTCCATGCAAGACATTCCAGCTGTCAGAACAAAAGCGCTGCTAATGTAGCTTCAACCTTTCGTCTTATATAGGCATAGTGTGCCCGAGGATGGTGACCACTGCGTACAAATCGTACACCGAACAAGTCCACGATTTTGATGATCCCCTAAATGCATACGTGCGGGTGGACTTTAGATGTCTTGAGAAAATGCGTAGGTTAGGTTTTATGGAGTGATTCGGCTAGATTAAAAGTCAATTTTCCGATGACCCGTAAGGTTATAAAGAATACTCGCAGGACAAGGCTCATGAAAAAATGATCATGAGAGGTTCTGACATCAACTGTTTCATTTTTTGTGTGCAATGACCTTTCTCGATCTGAGCTTGTCGATTGAGTCGTGAAGAATATTTTCACGGGTACTACACGCATCTCAATCTGTATGTCCTTCACGCACTGTCAGTAATCGCCACTAGATTTTTTTATTTTTCCAACTCGCCAATAAGTAACGCAAATAAATTGATGACACTTCTTCCTCGTCTGACACTTTCGCACCGATGCTTCACGCTTTGACCGAAATCTACAACCAATCATTGTCACTCCTCTGACGTAAGAGCGTATCTCGATTTCCGCATGAACCCCGGATAGCATGGATTTATATGTGAAACAAGGCTCTCGAGAAAATTGAGGTACACCCTTACGTCAGAGGGGCTACGTCATGTGGCCTATCTAAAATTGCATTTGAAAGTGTAGCCGGTAGGCACGATAACCCACGCAAGTGATAAAATACTTACATTTGATATCCTCGATGTCATAGTGTTGCCGGGTGTTTGGAATGTAATGACTCCATGGTTGAAAAATGCATTTCACACTACCAGAAAGACCTTTGGAAGGACGAATGAACTTTGAATGATACAGCTCTATTGACCGTCTGCTTCTCGCCATTTCTTACTTCCGTAGACATGACCTGACCCTGGTTGTCTTCACCTCAAAGGATGGATCAGAGATATCGTCAGATATCGTCGAAATGGGTATTTTGAAATAGCAGGACTGCTGGCCATCCAAAAGACTCGAAAAAAATTTCGGGCGATTTTAAGAGATTTGAGTAGAGAGAAAGCATAAAATGAGTCCATAGCGTAAGGATTTTATACTTTTAAAGCTCATGAACACCCAAAACAAAAATTCGGCGATTTTTTTCGTAGGAATGTCACCAGAATATTAGAAAGAAGGAGAGAATCAGGGGATTTTGAAGTGACATTTTGAACCAACCATGACCGTAGCCCACCAAGAATCGTTTTATGGGAGGATCTCTGGTTAAAAATTATTCATGGGGGAGTCCATAGGTAACAAATTCCTGAAAATCAAGAAAAATTGCTTTCTTTTGGAAGATCATCCAGTTAAGGGGGATCCAGACCCCAACTCCCCCCCCCCTTTCCCCTCCCGGTTACGCTAAATCCTGATAATGATTTTAGACGAGAATACGGCTGTGGCTTGCAATGTTTTCAAAGGAAGGAAACAACCTACTCTTTCATACACAATTTTGCTTTTTAAAATGGCCACTCAAAATCCATCGAGTGGGCATGAAGGAGGAGATAGTTCGGCAGACATCATTTTGACGATTAAAAACATTGAATCTTATTCGAACAGACAAAAAATGCAAAAACCTCACGAGAGAACACT